TGTCACGTCTTCATTGGTCTTCAATTCAACAAGGTTGTATATCACCATGCCTTTAGTATCAATTAAATCTTCATGAAACTCAATCTTTCTCACCCTTCTATTATCATTATCAGGCGACAATTCATTTAACTTATCTGTCAAGTTGGCGAGAGATGTGGTGCCATTCAGAAGCTTGAACTCAACAAGAGGATTGTCTCCGTTGAAATACACTTCTGTCTTAATAAGAAATTGAGGAAGATGCATTTTGAGATGTTTTTCTAAATAAAAAATGACCCTATTTATACAACTTTAGTTTCATTCTGGGCCACATAAAACTTTTGGTGTAATCACAACCCTACAAAACTGTCGATAAAACCTGGATCGTTAAAATATATTTAGTACATACACTAACGAAAATTTCAACTTGTGCGATATTTCCGATAAGAAATTATACATTTTGAAATTTCCGAATCAAATTACAACTTACTAGAAATTTCAATATAAATATCGGAAATTTCATGCGTACCAAAAATTTAAAACTTCCTACTAAAAATTTCGTTCGACCATTTTTTTTTATCAGAAACATTTTTTATATTATAAAAATAGTGAGACGTACCATGTTAAAATTTAGGGGTGACAAGTTAAATTCTCTTTAATTTAATGACTGAGAATCTAATCAATCAAAATAACAAAATTTGGACTTATCGCCTGTGTGTTAGAATTGAAGCTACAGTTTTTGATATAACCGGGGAAAGTTGCTTTAAAATAGAAGAAAATGAATGTGCAATTGCTCAGTGCCAACCACATGTTCAATCGCGGACTACATTGGCCATAATATTTTTTGCAAATTTTGGGTGAAACAATTTTTTTGTTGCTAAACTTGGTCAAATTCTGGATTATCAGATCCTCTTGAAATGAAAGGGTTAACACCAAAAGAATTAATATCAAAAACATTAAATAAATGAGGTATTAGAAAATCACATAAATAACAGTAATAAAGAGGAAAGGAAATAACTAGCTAAGCTTTTCAGGACATATTTTGTATGCTAATCCATTTTTAGGACATTCTCAGGATTAGATCATAAAGTTGCGTTTGGTTGTTGATCATCCACCATTAATAAGAGACAGACAATATAGATTTTATAGTTGTATTATACGAATATATTTACTTTTATTTATACAACCATATAAAATATTTTCTTTCTTGTAAATAGAAGTTAATATGAATTAATTAAGATTTAATTTGTTTTCTTAATTATTTATATTTTTTAATTATTTATATCCTATTATATTATGTACAAATTCAATAAAAAATACATAATTTTTATATGATATCAAAGCTACAATTCATATCCAAAAGAAAGAATAATAAAAAATTAAGATTTTCGTCTAAAAGAAAAACAAAATAGTTCAAGCATCTCAGATGTTGATCCAAAGAAAGACTCCTTCCTCCAAGTAAAGAGAAAGGAAGACTATTTCGTCGATGAGACTAAGCAGTCAAGAAAGACTAATTCAAATCATGCAAAGTGGAAACTAGAAAACAGTCTTGTGATTTCATATTTACTCAACTCAATGACAAATTAGTGTGGTGAAAATGTCATGTATTATGATAATGTTGCGGAAATTTAGAATGAAACTAAGGAGACCTACTCAAATTTGGATACACTTCAACCATATTTGAGATCAGAAATCTCTTACATAACCTTCAACAAGGAGATTCTCTAGTCACATAGTACTAACACACTCTCACAGTATTTGTAGCAACTTGACATCTATGCTGATACATAATGGAAGTGCACATAAGATGAAAAAAAATCTATAATAAATTGACCGAGAAGGATATAATCTATCGATTTTATTAGGACTGAATACAAATTTAGATGAAGTGAGGGGAAGGATTCTTGGAACTAAATCTCTCCCTAGCATTCATGAAGCATTTGCAGAAGTAAGAAGGGAAGAAAGTAGAAGGAAATTTATGTTGGAAAGTCAAAGTGAAAACATTAAATGCTTGACAATTTCTTTTTCCAGCCTTGTATGTTCTCTTAAACCCCTGGAGAAAAATAAAAAATACCCTATAAACTTAGAGATGCATCTCCAAACGCACCATTTTCACACAAAATAAGCGCTAATTATTGAGCACCCTTCACTTTGTCAAACTTTAATTCAGAGATGCATCTCCGAATATGTTTTAGGGTTTGTTCGCATATGCATCTCCAAATTATCCCTTGTTTTTAAACTACGGAAAATTTTCGGAGATGCACCTTTAAAAGTTTTTAATGTATATATATCCCGCGCTAGATCCTCCCTCCCATTCTTCTTTATTTTATGAAAAATTTTCTTCCCCTATTGGAGCTCGTTGTTCTAGTCGATTTTTGAAGCAACAAGAGAACCTTTACTTCAATCTTAGAAATTGCAACTCACTCCACAATCTACATTGAACATTATTAGTCCTTATCAACACTTATTTGAGTAAGTTTTTCATTTAACTTATTTTGATTTTTGATTAATATATTAGGTAATATTAAAATTCAAAATAGGTAATGTTACAAACACGCACTCTGATTTTGATGCATTTTGGGTTGTTAGGGCAATACTAGGAATTGATTCTGCCATTGAAGCATAACGCATAACTTTTTTAGAGATGCATCTCCGAAACTGGTTATTTCTGATTTTCAGAGATGCATCTCTGAATTTGGTCCTTCCCAATGCATAATTTATAGAATTTCAAACTAATGTCTTTGTTCGATTTCTTTTTTAGGAGAATCACTGAAAACAACAACAAAATGAGACTCGACTATGAAACCCTAATTGTGTCCATTCATCGTGAGAGGGCTCTTCAACATGAACATGCCAGAGTTATGTGGTTCCCCGCCCTAGGCCTCACGACAGGGAAACTTCCTCTTCTAGGAGCCGTCTGTCACAAGGTTCCTCGTCCCAGGCTCACGTACACTAGGAAGAAGCCCCTGTTGCACATGATGGCCTCCCCCACTTGCAGACCCTTATCCATGAGGGCTCATTGTCACCTTATTATTGATACATATGGATACCACATTGCTTTGCATGTCTGGGTTGGAGAGGTATATTTGTTAATGGTTATTATTTTTCTGTTTTAACCAAATTCAATGCGACTGATATTGTTATATATTCTTTTTTAATAGGAACATGATTGTTTGAAATCTGTTAACCATGCTAAAAAGATTCACAATATTTTTCAGCCTAAGGATAAGTGGTTCCAAAGTGTTATCAAATACTCAGGTCTTGTCGGTCTATGTTCTTCCGGATACGCAACTATCATCCATCGTATGCAGGGGGCTTTTGCTGAGAGATTGCATAAAGAAACTCCACCTTTCCACTTATCCATTGGCGAGATGAAGATTATACTTGATGACATCGTTGGCCTTCTACACCTTCCCATCATGGGAAGGTTACTCTATGATTCTAGGATCAAACGTGTTAAGGCCCAGGAGATGATGGTGATGTATTTGGGAGTTGACCAAAATGGAAGCCCTAATGTAGTATGAGAACACCAGAAGTGATCATGCTAAATTTTTGTGGTTGAATAAGCTTTATGAACAAAACTTGGAGTTGGCCTTGGAAGCCGATAACGATGAACTACAGGTTACCTACCACCGGGAGTGTGCTTGGAGGTGTTTCCTCCGATTCTTGGTTGGCACATCCATGTTTGTATACAAAAGTGCAACCTATGTAGATATGGCATACCTTAAGTATTTCATCAACTTGGAGGCCACTTACGAGTGGAACTAGGGGGTGTATGCTCGGTATACTTGTACTCTAAGTTGAGCGAAGTTTCTCTTTGGACGACAAAGCAAATGACAGACTTCTCATCCTACTGACGGTAATTCCATAGCCATTACTAATTTTAAAATCATTTTTTTACACTTGTTACTAATGTATTTTTCCTTAATATTTTAAGGGATGGATCTTATCCCACTTTCACCACATACATAGGTTTGATCGTGTGCTGGGATATATTGAGGATTACCCACAGGCTTGCTTGTATTGTCCGCATAGGGAAAGTGATGATGTGCGACCATCATGTGTGTATATTGATAAGACTTAATATGATGGCATCGACTGGACACCATACGTCACTCACCGAGACATTATTCCCTTTGAACCCATTTCATATTTCTCTAGATGACTGACATGTGGGAGTATGTACATGTCTCTACCAGAGCGATGCATGCGTCAGTTTGAATTTGGGAAGACCATTTCGAGATTCCCATTGGTGGCTGCTCCTATCAGCATCGTCTGTAGACATCTTGATGACATACTGGAAGATTACGAGAATTATCTGGTACTAAAGGAGTGTCGAAATATGTCAACCATTAGTCAGTGGCATTATGTCGAGGGTTACATGACTTGGTTTTATTCGGTCACAACCTGTCATGACACCTGACGCTCCTAAACGTCCACCTAAACCAGCTCATGAGGAGATCCTGAAAAATGACCAGACCAGAGTGGAGATTCACACCACAAGGGCGGAGAAATAAATTGTCTAAAGAATTTGCCCTTGTAGCATAAGGCTCACCAAAAAAGGTAGATGAGGGTGTGGTCACTGCAAACGGCTCGAAGATACATCGGGTGTTTTATGGAAATCCCATGAATCTGAAACCATGTTGTTGCTTTATATAAAAGTTACAGTAAATTATGTACGAAGAAGTTGATAAATATCTCATAACCTACAAAATTAATATAATATAGAAAAGACTAAATATTGCTATTTATAATTATATAATAGGTAAATTTGGAGACGTGTAGGAAATCTTCTAATACGTTTGAAATGTCAAAACGTCTAATAATTTGGAATGACGGGAATATAAGGTTAGAAAGAGAGATTCTTATATGGATTACATAAACAAGGACAAACAAAAGGCACTTGTCATTGAACCAACCATCCCAAGTGTGTATACATGTCAAGCTAACTCACCAAAAAGAGAAACCAACACTAATAAATCCACCATAACTCAACACTTCACTCTCTTCCCCCATTCAATTACATGCTTCATCAAACCTCCATCACCGTTCTCAACCGCTTCTTCCATCACCAACCACACTCCCTCTTCACAAAACCAATCTCCCGATTCCCTTTCTCACTCCCCATCATTCTATCCATGTCAACTTCTCACTCCTCCTCCAACCAACACAAGTTCACCAATCGACTTGCTTCCGAACAAAGCCCTTATCTTCTTCAACACGCTCATAACCCTGTGAGTTTCCCTTTTTTCAATTCCAACTACTTCTCACTCATAACTATTTTCATTCATTCACTCATTCCATTTCAAGGTTGATTGGTATCCATGGGGAGAACATGCTTTCGCCGAGGCTCGCCGTCGAGATGCACCTATCTTCTTGTCAAGTTATCCCCTACCTTTTCTTTTTGAAAATTCAAATTTCCTAATTTAGTATATTTAGTACCTAGGAATGAAAATTGAATAAAATTTATATATATACTTGAATAATAGTGAATTTCATTGAGATTAAATATAGATTTAACCATTTGTTTGAGGAAATTTTGATTGTGTAATTAATTAACCTCATGTTTACATGTGGTGATGTGGTTTTAATGGCTATTTGGTATGATGAAGTTGGGTACAGCACTTGTCATTGGTATGTGTGCCTTATTACAACGGATACTTTTGATGTCAATCTTTTGGTGAGTTTATTTTAGCAATGACAAAATTGGAATTTTGATTAAGGTGTCATGTTATGGAGGTTGAGTCTTTTGAGGATGAGGGGATTGCGAAATTGTTGAATGATGGGTTTGTTAGCATTAAGGTAATTTGGTCACTTTATGTTTTCTATTGCTTTGAGTTCTTATATTTACAATCAGCTTTACTTATACAAGTTGCTCAACTTTGTCTTGTAACAATGCTATAGGTGGATCGTGAGGAGCGGCCGGATGTTGATAAGGTATACATGACGTATGTGCAGGCTTTGTATGGCGGAGGAGGTTGGCCTCTAACTGTGTTTCTTTCACCTGACTTGAAACCTTTAATGGGTGGAACTTACTTTCCCCCTGATGATAAATATGGCCGACCTGGATTTAAGACTGTACTCAGGTTAGAGTTATTGCACTTGTCAGCTTAAATCATCAACATACTTAGACTCTTGTTCTCAATAACATTGGTGGATGGCTCGTCACAATTTTCTAAAACTTAGGGTCAATGCTTTAAATCATTATTCTGACTCTTGGACCTCTTGTATACTATTTGTTTTGTTCCTCTTTTCTCCAGAAAGGTAAAAGAGGCTTGGGAAAGTAAGAGGGATATGCTAGTTAAGAGTGGAACGTTTGCAATTGAACAGCTTTCTGAGGCATTGTCTACTAGTTCAGATTCTGGTAAATTGCCTGATGGTGTTTCTGACGAGGCATTACGTCTATGCTCAGAGCAGGTAAGGCTTTGCGCATCTGCTTTTGTTTTCTATATCAATTTCGAATTTGTTAGCAAGCCTCCTCTATATTTCTTAGACACAAAAGGGAAAAAATGGTTTCTGTGTTTTTTCTTTTCTCTATATGAGGAACAAGGGAAAGTGGGGAATTGTCATAAACACGACAGTCTTGTTTTCTCATTTATAAAAGTTTATTTAATTTAAGGCTGATAGATACTAGTGTTAGTAACTCATAAGGCTTTCATATTTTCTTTAAGCTCTCTGAGAACTATGATTCAGAGTTCGGTGGTTTTGGATCTGCTCCAAAATTTCCAAGACCGGTTGAGATCAACTTGATGTTTTACAACTCTAAAAAGTTGGAGGATACCGGAAAGTTAGATAGAGCTAAGGAAAGTCAGAAAATGGTTTTCGTTACATTACAGTGCATGGCAAAAGGAGGTGTCCACGATCATGTTGGAGGGGGGTTTCACAGATATAGCGTGGATGAATGCTGGCATGGTAATTTTTTCTTGGACTACCGTCAGTTGTATTTAATATGTCTATAAGATAGATATTATACATACGCAAATTCCGGAGCATTTTAATTTTGTCATGTTAATTAGGACGCGCTGTACTACTATAATGCTCTTTATTCTGAAATGTTGTTACGATAATTAAATCGTTGATCTCTGATATCCTTGCAGTTCCACATTTTGAGAAGATGCTTTATGATCAAGGGCAGCTTGCTAATGTTTATTTAGATGCTTTTTCTATCACAAAAGATACCTTCTATTCATCTATATCACGGGATATCCTAGACTATTTGAGGAGAGACATGATTGGTCCAGAAGGTGAAATATTTTCAGCAGAGGATGCTGACAGTGCAGAGACCGAAGGGGCTACACATAAAAAAGAAGGATCCTTCTACATATGGACCAGCGAAGAGGTCTTTCATTCAAATTTTATCGGCTTTCCTTAATATATTTCTTATGGCAAATTGCATTATAGGTCCTCGAAAAGAAATTGATTCAATTGGTTCATTAAAAGAATGATCTTTCAATTGGGTTCAAAATCCTACTGTGCTCAGGGATGACATAAAATACTATGACATGGTCTTCGAGTTGCTGGCATGGTCCAATGGTTCACTGATGTGGCAGTCAATTGAATATAAATCAATTTGTTGTCCTCTGACCGAAAATAATAACTGTTTTTCAAGAGCACGCCTTGTCTTGTTTCTTAATTATTGACTGTTAGTAGTAGGTCTAAAAACAGGTCTGGCCGTCTATCCCAGCCTATGGCTCACCTACATTTGGCTCAGGCCAGACTTAATTTACTGGTGATATAAACTATACAATGACTTTTAAAAATACTATTTAGCTAAAAATTTTAAGCTTCAAAGCACCATGTTATTCCTTACTTTGCTATGGAAAATAACTACAGTATGTTTAAAATTGATCAAAGAAATATTTGCTGTAACTTGTGAGTTATGACCTGTAACTTGCGAGTTATGACCTCTCTTCAAGTTTTGACTATATTTTATATGTTATCAGTCAGTTGTTTTGGACTTTGGTCACCTAGATATTTATTAGACTACTGTGGATCATAAGAATTTGTATTTGTTTGGTCACAATATCTTTAATAGGGGTGGAAGGTTGGACCTCACAAGGCTTTGCTTAAATAGGTCTGAACTTTTCTAAAAATAGGTCTGGCTTGTTAGTTGCCATCACTCATAAGTTTATTTTTCGGCCTGACCTGTTTGCATGCTTAAAAGGTTTGATATTCAATCTATCTCTATGCGTGTTAAAGCACAAATAGGCCAACTGAGGACAAGAGAAATAAGGCTCAAAGCATGATGAAAGATAAGGGTCGAAATAGAGTAGGTTAATTTGAATATTATAAGATTGATATCATCTTGTTTATTTAATTACTCTTTTTTAGTGTCTGACATAACATAAAAGCCTTTTAAAAGTATATTTTGCAATTATGCCATAAAATTATCACCAAATTATGCCAATTTGCTGGTTTTTCTTTTCCTTTTGGATGAAAAATTGCTTAATTCTTTAAAGGGGTAATTATCTTGAGACATATAAAAGTTTTATTGTAATAAGTTATGATAATATTTATGTTTATTTAAAAAGGTCGGCTGGGTGGGCCTAATGTAGAGTATCAAAGACCTGACTTTTTTTCACCCCTTTATTGCATTTCCTTCTATTCAAGTTAAAAATAAGCAAATAAATCATGGAGATCATTTTTCCTAAATAAAAATTATGGTTTAAGCTTCAACATTTTTTAGAAAATCAGTACGTCCTTGCCTGCATTGTTTTAATTTCACCTAAGATGGTGTAATCAATTGATTCTAAATTTTTAACTGGCTCTTAACCTGGTACTGGTTTGTTCTGCTTAGATTGAAGACATACTTGGAGAGCATGCTGCTCTTTTTGTGGAGCACTATTACATAAAGAAGATGGGTAACTGTGACTTATCTGAAATGAGTGATCCTCACCAAGAATTCAAGGGAAAGAATGTCCTGATTGAGAGGAAGGATCCTTCAGAAATTGCATCAAAATATGGTATGTCAGTTGAGACATATCAAGAAATTCTCGGAGAATGCAGGCGTAAGTTGTTTGAAGTAAGATTGAAGCGCCCCAAGCCACATTTGGATGATAAGGTATAAGGTATTTCCTTGAGCATTCTATTTATTTAGGATCCACTAATAATGATTTGAGTTTGAACTTTTTAATCTGGCTCCTCTAAAGTGAGCAACTCACTTTAGAGTGTTAAGTGAGTAATATAATTGTTGATGAACAAATGAATGGTTAATATTATATTTACATGCATGGATAGGGCATGTTGAAATATCAACCATTGATTTTCTCAATTTACTCTTTTCACTTCAGAGGAGCCAAATCCTATACTTTTTATCTATGCTCGCAACTCTCAAGATAATATATCCTATGCTTCTAGGTTATTGTATCTTGGAATGGACTGGCAATCTCATCTTTTGCTAGGGCTTCTAAGATTCTAAAGGGTGAAGCTGAAGGGATCAAATTCAACTTTCCTGTTGTTGGCACTCAAGTAAGTTTTTTCCTCGATTAGTGTAGTGGTGTAGGTAGAGAACCTTTGATATTTCATTTCAGCTTAATGCCTATCAATACTTAAAAAGATGCGAGACGATCCTCTTATTATGTTGCTTCTGGAAGATGTATGTTAACTAATGTCACCGTAAGTGTACAATTATATACTGATAATCATAATTCTTGCTTTGGACAATGAGTGCTTTCTGGCTTTCTAAATGTGAATTGTCAGTTGAAAGTATGAAGTAATTGTGGGCAAGGCTGTTGGGGGAGCACTTGACTAAACTGACTCTTTTCTGTTCAGTAATTGATTATGTATTTATTTTTCTCCTCTCTTTTATTGTCCATATTCCAGCCAAAGGAGTACTTGAGAATAGCAGATAAAGCAGCATCCTTCATTAGGAATCACCTTTACAATGAAGAGACTCGCAGACTACAACACAGTTTCAGAAACTCTCCATCTAAAGCTCCTGGTTTCTTGGATGATTATGCTTTTTTGATTTCTGGATTGCTGGATCTCTACGAATTCGGAGGTGGAATCAACTGGCTTTTATGGGCCATTGAATTGCAGGAAACCCAGGTAGAGATTGATGTCTGGACTTGATGGAAATTTCATTTATTTTTCCTTGCCAGTCTTCACAATTGCTAATGAGATGAGTTGCTGGCAGGATTCTTTGTTTCTTGATAAGGACGGAGGCGGATATTTCAATAATACAGGAGAAGATTCTTCAGTTCTTCTCCGTGTAAAGGAAGACCACGACGGGGCTGAACCGTCGGGGAACTCTATCTCCACAATAAATCTTATAAGGTTGGCTTCCATGGTTTCTGGAAGTAAGGCAGATTATTATAAGCGAAACGCAGAACATCTTTTGGTATGTACCCTTCCACTATTTCCTCCTAAAAAATTGTTTCTTGTTTTTGCACCGAGTCAGTTGCAACTCACTGGATTCCATTTATAATGTATTGCAGGCAGTTTTTGAGAAGAGATTGAGAGATATGGCCATGGCAGTGCCTTTAATGTGTTGTGCTACCGACATGCTGCGTGTCCCTTCCCGGAAGCAAGTGGTGGTAGTTGGCGAAAGGACTTCCGAGGAATTTGAAAACATGCTTGCTGCAGCTCACACATTATATGATCCCAACAGAACAGTAAGCAAAATCACTCTATATAAAGTTGATGTCCCCATATTTTCTCATCAATAACGTTTGAGCGCCGCTGGTGTTGATTGTAGGTTATTCATATAGATCCCAACAAGAAAGAAGATATGGAATTTTGGGAAGTAAATAACAGCAATATTGCTCTAATGGCTAAGAATAACTCTGCAGTTGACAAGGTTGTAGCTCTTGTATGTCAAAACTTCACATGCAGTGCCCCTGTGACAGATAGTTCATCACTTGAAGCTTTGCTCTCCCAAAAATTATCTTAGTGGAAATAAGAATAAGCTATTTATGAGTATGGGAAAAAGTGCACGCCAGTGAAATCTCCCTCTTAAATATATGCATAACTCATTGCTTCTGATTTGTGTATAAAATGAAACTAATGTTATTCTATGTATCCGTTGGTGAGAAAATGTACTCAGTTGATATTTAGTACACAATTCAATAAAAAATAGCATTTAAATAGAACCATGCAAAAGCTACTATACTCGTATGATGATATCTAACTCTATTAACTTTCCTAATTGACTTGGATAAGCAAAAATATTAATTAAAAATATAAATAGGGGATGTAAATGTAAGAGTGTTTTTATTTTCATTTCATAAATTTATACTGTTTTAATTATTAATGAAGAAAATGTATATTTTGAAAACCTAAAACTTAAAACACTTAACAATATTTGGTTTTCAATTAAAATCACCTTCAAAATATTTGTTTTGCAAATTTTGAAGTCATAAGCAAGAGGTAAGTCTTATTTTTTTGTTTGCTTTTCTTATTGATTAGACAATTTCTCGTGCTTTTTTCAGGTTCTACGTAAAATTTCTAAAATACCTCATGTTTAGAGATGTAGAAATACCTCATGTTTAGAGATGTATATATAAAGAAATTTAGAGTTTATTTGGAGATACATCTTTGATTTAATTTTTTTTTTAATTCAAAAAATTATTTCAGAGATGCATCTTTAAACTAAAATTATTTCAGAGATGCATCTTTAAATTAGGTGAACGTATTTAAAGTTCATGTTAGGCTCTCCCTCTTCTCCTTCTTTAAAAAACAAACTTTATCTCTCTCTTCCTCTTCCCATTTTCAGTTTACTCCATCTCAAGTTTTAAAGCAACTTCGTATCATTTACTTGTATTTTGTCATTCCAACTCCTTATAACTAATGCATTCAACACTTTACACCCTCGACAACATATCTTTTTTAGTAAGTTTTTTATATAACTTATTTTGTGTTTTGATTAATGTATTAGCTTAAATAGGTTACTTTTAATGCATTAAATAACATTAGCATTTGAAATATATTATGTGTTGGATCTATTTTTATTATTTGGGTGATGAAGGATGGATTTTGGATGGTTAGGGCAAGGGCAGAGATGTTTATGTCATTGAAATGAAAATACAAAGCTTTTTTTCCAATGTATCTCCGAAATATGTTACTTATGGTGTTTGGAGATACATCTCCAAATTCTTTCCTTATTCATACACTAATATCATTTGTTATGTTTTTTCAAGGATAATGACTGCAAACAACGACATGATAAAACTTGACCGCTCCACTCTAACCACGTATGCTCCCTGCGTTAGGGCTCGTTAGCATGAGCAGGCTAGAGCCATCCCTATGCCTCACGATAGGGAAGCGTCGACCTCTAGGTGTTGACTCTCACATGGTTCGACATCCCAGAGTCGTGCACACCATGAAGAAGATGCCCCAACTGCACACCAAGCCCCAATTACTAAGAAGGCCCCACTTGAAGAACCTTTTATAGGAGACTCATGGATACTTCATTACTATATACTTTGGAGATCATGTGGCTCTTCATATCTGGGATGAAGAGGTATATTTTTTAACGGTTTTATTTTTTATATTTTAACCAAATTCAATTCGACTGAGACAGTTATATTTTATTTTCAACAGGAACGCGAGTGTTTGAAATATGTGAACCATGCCAGAAAGATTCATAGTTTTTTCCAGCTTCTAGATACAATATCATTTGCCATGGCATGCAGGTGGCATTTTTTGAGAGCTGGCATAATGAAACATCATCTTTCCACCTTCCCATTGGCGAAACGACAATTAAATTAGATGACGTCGCTTGCATCCTACACATTCCCATCAGATAAAGGTTGCTTGATCCTTCTAAGATCACCAGGGCTGATGCAGTGGAGATGATGTTGGTTTATTTGGGAGATGGCCCCAAGGAAGCCTTTCAGTAGTGTAAGAACACCAGGGGTGCACATGTCAAGTTTTCTTGGTTAGCAAAGTTGAATAGCAACAACTTAGAGATAATCAATGGCCTGGACACCGATTATCTACAGGTTGGACACCATATGGAGTGTGCATTGAAGTATTTCTTCCATTCTTGGTTGATACGTCCATGTTTGTGGACAAAAATACAACCTACTAGGATGTGGAATACCTTAAGTATTTCACCGACTTGGAGGCCATGGAATTGGGGGGAGGGGGGGGGGGGGGGGGGGAGGGGGGCAACATGCTTGGTATACTTGCAATCTAAGTTGAGCGAAGGTTCTCGTTGGACGAAAAAGCAAATGGCAGGCTCCTGCACCCTGCTTACTGTAATTTCAAAATCCCATTATTAAGTTAAAAAAAACCTTTTAACACTTGTTACTAATATTTTTTTTTCTTATTCGTTTTCAGAGATGGATCCTTGTCCACTATCACTGCATTCACGGGTTTGGGCATATGACCCTGATTATACCGAGGATCATCCACGTGCTAGCTTGTACCTCGTGCGTAGAGGGAATGATGATGTGGTGTATTTCGTATATATATATATATATATATATATATATATATATATATATATATATATATATATATATATATATATATATATATATATATATATATATATATATATATATATATATATATATATATTAATCGGACTCAGCATGATGATGACGCTTGGATGCCATACACTACTCACCGGGATATAATTTCATTCAATCACGTTTAATTATAATCTGAATGGCTAACATGTGGGACTAATATCATGTACATGTATCTTCCAGAGCGATTTATGCAGGAGTTTGGGTACGTGCAGATCATAGTGAGGTCCCCCATCCAAGCTGCTCCTTTGAGCATTATCCGCAGATTGAAAACCCTTCCAACCTCCAATAAATATTATAATTAATTAATCAGAATATTTCACCAAAAAGGGCGTCACATGCTTCATAAACATCAAACATGCACGTCATTGCACCGTAACTCGGGCTTTTAAATATTTATAGATCATTTAATACGCAGCGGAATTCATAATTCATTATTAAACCAACCCTAAAAACTTCATCGTTCATGGTTCTTAGTTCAAAACAAACATAAATACCATGAAAAACAATTCAAACTCTCATGAATAACAAAAGAAAATAAAAACTCAAAATCAAACGTTCCTGACCCCGATGTTACATATTAGATCAAGACTTTCTAAAAATCAATTGAAAGTAAAACGACACACTCCGAGCTATCTTCTAAGCTCCTACGAACTATTCCTGATCACCTGTGCATTACCCACGCGGAGCCAACACTCAAACAGAAAAGGGTGAGTAATCACATTCATTATAAAAGATATAAGGAATAGACATAGTAGTTCATACAACAATATCATGTCATAAAAATTAACATCATTGTCAACACCTTATCAATTAGCACAACAACGTATGCAACATCATCTAAGCAACAAGTATGTAATGCCACATAAAATATAGTTCAATAACATAGACCCATGCATGTGGTACCAGTTCATTATGAGTACTAGACTCATCACCCTTAAAAGATCCCCACCATAGGATCGATTCCCTATTGGACTCGGAGCACAACATCTAACACACTCGATCCACACAATGGAATTAAGGCCAACACTGGACTAACATCCTCAACAACACTAGACTTACATCCTAAATCAACATTGGATGTTCGTCCTAACAAGTCTATGCATACATGATGCACAATCAACATAATTAATTACAACCACATCTAGTCAAGTGCATCACCATTCACCAAATCATCAACAATATTTCACATTGCACAAATCAACATAATAACGTCAACATAATTCCATAATTCATAGTCACAACATATTATTATCATATTAATTATAATGCATCATGACAACATGCATAATTATAGTCCTCCCTTTTAAATATAATCCTATCCTATTTTAGGTACTGAAATTATATCTTTTTTTACTCATTTTATTCCACCCACATGTAGTTCATCGCGTTATCTATCTAACGCTTCGAACGACGCCTTAAACAGAGTTCTAAAACTCAAGTTATGATCTTTTAAAATTCCTACTGTTGTCTGTCGCCCGAGGCTCGCCTAACGACATCGGAGCGACAACACCACCCATCCTTTTCGGTGTCTATCTCCCAATGAAGCTCCTTTCTTGCCTAGCGACCTACCTCTCGCTCCTGCCTCGCCTGACGACGCTCGATCGAGACACCCTCTCCATATAAAATTCCAGGAGCACCATTTTCCCATATCTCCTTTGCTCTCAGCTCGCCTGGCGACGACCAGGCGTCACTACATCGCCCGACGACACTTACCACCGCCAGCAACACGTAGCAAACAACAACATCCTATTGCGATTCTACACCTGTTCAGCCCCAATTCTTCTTGCGATTTCATGCCAATACAACCTAAAATATCATATTTTTTAATATATAATCATCATAAAATAACCATACAATATTATATGCATTATGTACACAATCTCATGACAAATAAATGTAGCGACTGGTTTTTTAATCAGAGCCGCCACTATTAGTTTTTATCCTAGGGAAGGGAGTCTAACAGAAAACCCTAATTCAGAGACAAAGATTCTAGGTCTTGGACTTCTTTAGACGAAAGAAATATGTTAGGTACCTTTCATCTACCTTGTTCACAAGGATACTAGGTTTTAGGTTTGAGTTGGGGAAACAGGATTTACATTTTATCAGGGGAAAGGGTTTAAATTTTTTATAGGGGAAAGGGTTTAAATTTTTTATAGGGAAAGGGTTTAAATTTTTTATAGGGGAACTCGCTACGATTTTTGATCATATGCCTACGTATCCTCTTAAGAGGAATCAAAGTCCCAATTCGTAGTTTGTATGAGTTGGTGTTTTTTAGGGGTTGCAAACGTACTTTGAATCACCTCGCATTTTGGCTGGGAGTAGTGATTGCGGAGATTTTGGCTAAATGCGCAGTAAGTCAAAATCTACTTGAAACCCTTTTGCAAAAATAGTTGTTTAGATTAGTTGATTGCGA